AGCAGAGAGAAAGCGTGATCCTTCATTGAAAAGCATGCTTCGCTGAGTAGCGGTCGTAAGCAAGAAGTGAACCAAATTTCATAATCGATCCCTAGCAATGTTCTTACCCTTCTTGAAAAATTCAAATCAGGTCCAAATTGACTATTTTTGAGGAAGCCTCGCCCCCAGTTGGCGGGATCTACATCTGTCACCTAACATTAGTTTTCCCATCTTGCCACCTACATCTCTACCAAATTTGGACTGCCCAGGTCCAATTTACCTGTTTTCGAGAAGCCTCGCCCCCAGTGGGCGGAGTCTATGCCTGTCACCCACCATTAGTGTTCCCATCTTGCCAACTACATCTCTGCCAAATATGAACCCAAACGACGCCGTATAAGATAGTTCCAGTGCAACAGACATACAAACATACAGACATACAGACATAGAGACAAACAGAAAAACGGACAATTGTGGTTTATATATAATAAGGATTCTTTTACTAGCCTCTGTCGTGAGGTGTTTCACTATTGTTTCTGCAAGTTCTTTGGCATAATGGCCTTAACCGTTTGCAAAGTCGCTAAGTGGGCTGCATTCGAATATATTACACAATGCCATATTCAAATACATGTAAGGCTTTAACTGCTGATTATAAAGTTTCTGCAGTTGACGCACTTTTATGAATAGCATTACCAACCTTTGAGTGGACTGCAAAGACACGTCGTACCCATTCCGTGTTCGGACGCTTGCATTTATTCATCTGCATTGAACTACTGATCTTCAGACGGCTGACCATGAAATTAAGTCAACTAACAGACAGCTCCAGCTCATAGCCATACAATCAAACGTCACGTTGGTTTGCTGCCCACCTCTCACAACCACCATCCAATAGTGTCCTCCGTTGTCCGTCGTCTTCCGTTTATGTTGCAATCTGCATCAACGCCCATCAACGTCCTCAACGCAGTTTCAGGCCACTCTTATCTCATCTGCTTCCATAGATCGTTTCACGCCTGCATTATCCCATCGCATCTACTCCGCGAAAAGGATTTCGTGAAGTGAAACTTGCAACTACTGTGAGACGGAGCTCGGACGCCAAAGTGCCGCAGGAAGTTGGATCCTCGGATAGTCCCCGAGTTAGCCAAATCAGGAATTGGGCCCGCTCGTTGGTTGATTGTAGTCCCATGCACCGCTGTTTTATCACAATGACTTGTAATTGTTATTTCTATGTTCGCATGTACTTATTTAGCCGTAGCTCCATTTTCATCGTAGTCCTAGGTTGCGTACTGATAGTTTGTGCCTTTTTGTGCATCAATTTTTAACACTTTTTTCGCTTTATTCATTCAATGTATATTTTCTACAACATTTTGGAGCTTATCAAATGGTCCTCCCTACTTCGAATTCCATTCATTTCAAATTTCATTCTTCTGAAACTTCAATCCAATTTTCTAAGACGGTCGTCAAGAAGCGGGCTCGTCTTATTTTGCTCATGTCTTCAAATTCGAAAAAAAAGTTAGAGCCATAAGAATGCTGTGGAAGCATAAGAACCAGATTTCTTTCCAATTCACAGAAGTATCCAAATCCGGTTACAAAAATTCCAATCTAGAATCACAAATTCCAAGATTAGACAAGTAGAGGTAGGATCCCTGGACTTGATGACGACACCCTAAACTCATTGAAAGTATCGCATTCACGAAGAACTGCTCGTGACATGACAGAAAAATTTTGAGTATCACGTTCAACAGTCAACAAGCCTTTGGAAAAACTTAAGCACCTTAACAATTTAATTGGAGACAGGGTCTTAAAAAGCAGTCAGGCGAAACGCACTCGGCTATCGTTCAGAATACCAAAAGTA